ACTGCCAGGGAGCTGGCTGCCAGGGCTCCTCTGCTGTGTCTGCTGTCAGAGCCGTGCCGGAGGCAGCTGTCACCCCGTCCCTGCTCTCCTCCCAGCACATCCGAGCCTGTCAAGCTGTTGAGTCCATGAGGAGCAGGAGGGTGTGCTGAACTGCTCTGTGGGTGCCAGCTGCAGCTTTCCTTGGGAAATCCCACCCGTGCCCATTAAATCCCTCAGTTCCCTGTGTTAACGTTCAGAGATGGGGCAAGGGGGAAATCCTAAAACTGTCCTCACATCCTCATGCAAGGGGCATGGTGGCTCAGACAGCTCTGAGTTTCAAACATGAAGGAGGCTGCTGGGGATAAACCTGTGAGAAATGACTGACATGAGGGCAGGGGGAGGTCAGGAGCCATCAGTTGCTGCAGAGCAGCCCAGGGTGGGTAGCGTGGAGGAGGGAGGGAGGTGGGCAGCTGGCTGTCGTGCTTCAAAGCTCAAGAGCATCAACTCCTCCTGGTGCTGAGCACCTCAGGTCTGGCACTGCTCCATCACAGGCTCCCTACGACAAAGCTTGGGGGCCTCCCCTGCAGCAGTGAGACCTGTGGCCACGAGGTTTCTTTTGGTTTCCTTGCAATTACCTCTAGTCGTGGCAATTTTGTTTTTTTGATGAGAATGTGTGCTGAGGGGAGGCTGCTGCACCTCTGTCATCCCTTTGGGCATCACCCCAATTTAATATTGCACGGGATGAAGGAGCTTTTCCTCTGGGCGGACATCTCAAAGGTTAAAGGGGGAGACTCTCCAATTAACTTCAAAGCTCCCCAAAACCCTTGGGGCTTAAAGGTCTTTTCTTGGGGCTGTTCCCTGTGGCCATGGGGTCCCTTCCCCTGCCCTGCTCGGCTTGTTTTCCCTCCTGCTAACAGCAGGACTATTGTTAAACGCCGAGATCCTTCGTGTCTCACTCCCTCTAACGAAGATAATTAGCCGTGAATCACGGAGGTCTTGTTGTTTGTGAGGAGGTTAAAATCCCTGATACACTTTAATACATTTTTCCAGTGAGCACATTTAGAAAGTAATTAAAAGGCTCAGCTGCCTTTGCCTACGTCCCCTCTCCCCCTCCCCGAGCCGGCAGGATTTAATTGAGGCCAGTTGAAAGTTAGTGGAAATAAATTGTGGCTGATAAAGCAGAGGTTGTAATTTCATTCTGGGAGAGGAGCTGTTCTTGCCCGGGTGTACAGTTCATCAAGGACTGGTGTTGAGGGGTGGTGGTGGTGGTGGGAATGTATTTGTGTAATGTGATTGACTGTTGAGAAGATGATGTTTAGGGAGGGATAGTGCTTGTGAGTGGAGTGGTCCCACTCCTTGGAGCATCATCCCTGGGGCTTGTGAGCATCCCTGGGAGCTGGGGAAGTGGGGGGATACTGGTCCAGGAGCCCAGGTTGGGTTGTCTTGAGGGCTGGTGAGATGTGTGGGTCGAAAACATGGACGTGTTGCTGGTGTAAAACAACCAACTGGGGACTTGAGGGGCAGCGATTGCCTCAATTGACTTTGTAGTCCGTCAACATCTTAATTGCTGCCTGTGGCCAAGGGGTGATGGGTGCTGAGGTGGTGGAGTAAGAGAAGGGAGGTATGGGAGATGAAAGAGTTTTTTTGGATGCTCCTGAGACCGTTACCAGCTCCTTGCAGGGGAAGCAGCATGTAAATGTAACCTTCAGCAAGAGAGGAGCACTGGAACGCCCTGCTGCCCGCGATATTAAAATGGGATATCAGAGCAAACAGTGATCTCCCTGCTCGGGGGGATGAGGTCGGGAGCCTGTTTAGCCAGGGATTTACTGGTGCCCAGGGCAAACGGGCTCTGCCGCTCGCTTCCATGCCTGCTGGCTGGGAAACCTCTCGAAGCCCTTCTTGGAAAATCCACCCTCTGAATCCCCGGGGCTGATCCCCTCCCTGAGCACCCCACGGGGCAGGACTGCTCCTGTGCATCCCCACAGGAGGAAGATGAGGATTTCTGCCCTTGTTGAGGCAGGAGATGGAGTCTGAGCACGGCCGTGCTGTTAATTACCTGCCTGCTCCAGCCAGCACTAATGAACTTACCTTGTTTTCCCTGCCCAGCCAAGGTCCCGTTACCCTTTCTCCCTCCTTTTCCCTTGAAGGAGGATGCCAAGGTTGCTTTTTACTCCATTCTTCTATTTGAATAAGCATTAAATCACCGTCCAAGTGGCTGGCACTTGGCTTTTTGTTCAGCCACGACCATAAAACGTGATGTCTTATTAATAAACGATGTAGTTACTGTTTCAGCTTCGTTTTCCCTTTCGTGGTTGGCCGTCGTGACATGGCTCCCACAGCTTTGCAATCCCTCTCTGTGTGCAGATGGGTGCAGCACCCGTGGGGTGGGTGCATCGCCTCCCACCTCTCTCCCTGGCCCAGACTGGGTGCTGGGGGGTGTTATGGTGGGGAAGGACACCCCAGTTCCCCACAGACAGAAGCACAAAGCCTCTTGCTTTCCAGAAAGGGAGCTCAGCGGGGTGACTCTAAGAAGAAACCTCAGGCAAACCCTGTTTTTTGTGCCTCCTTTGCTCCCCTCCTGTGAAGCTCGAACCCAAGCTCTTGCTTTTCTTACCACCTGATGGTTTCCCCTGTCTCTGCCCTGCCCACAGATACGCTGTCAGTGCCTCGCTGGTCTCCACAGATTCCCCGTCGAGATCTGGGAAACTCAATAAAACACAGGTACACCCCCTCTACCTCATCCCTTCCCATCTCTGCTCCAGGACGGGGGGCTCGGGACTGTTCCTTCCCCTTTCCCAGGCTGGGTTGGGCTGTCCTAGAAGCCCATTTAAATTCCATTTCAGTTCAGATGTGGTTTAGATAAGGCTTGAGTCGCTATCAATAAAAGCCGTGTAATACCCATGACCTTGCCGACCTCCAGCAGATTTCCCATCTCTGGTTTATTGCCCTCCCATATCTACCTCAAGAAGGAAAAGCACCAGAAATAGTCTTGCTGCTGCTATTTGATGGGGCAGCCGCTTCTCTAACGGGCTGGAAACTTGGGTCCCTGGGGCAGGGAGGTATTTTGGGGGCTCTGGAGTGGGCAAAGCTGGGCAGTCACAGCAAGCCAGTGGCTCATGCCCCTCCTGGCCAGCTTGGAGCAGCTTTGGAGCAGGCTGCGTGCTTCTGCATAACCCAAGAGGGGCTCAGATTTGTGCTGGGGCATCCCTAGAAAGACGCCTTGGCACCTGCAGCAGTGTTTGAGGGCTGAGAGGAAGGGATACATTGGAGCTTAGGAGATAAGCTCAGCCTGGGAGATGTTCCTGTGGGAGCACAGATTGGGAGAGGGGGGGCACAACTTCATCTCTCCATGGCCATTCTCTGTGTTCCTCTCCACAGGTTTTCCACCAAGTATTGGATGTCTCAGACCTGCACTGTCTGTGGGAAAGGAATGTTGTTTGGCTTAAAGTGCAAAAACTGCAAGTACGGTGCAGTGCTGATGCTGTTTGTGTCCCTCCTTAACGTTGTGGGGGGGGGGATAATTAGGGTTTTACTGGTGGAGCAGAGCAGGGGCTCGGGCACAGGGAGACCATCTCACCCTTGTGGGAAGCTTTAATGGAATTGGGTGAAGCACACCCCAAAGCAGGGCTGAGGTTGGGGCTGTGTGCAGGGGCTGGGAGTTGGGGTCCTTGGGGAGGATGCTGCCCACCAGACCTCAGCTCTGTTTGTACCAGAGCTCTGAGTCAGATCCTGACAGCCTCCCTGCTGGCTGCCATCCTGGGCCTGGCTTTAGATGCCGGTGGGACAGGGTTATGTGCAGAATTGTCTATAGGTGGTGGGATGGATGTGCTGGACCAGGGGCTGAGAGCGACTGGAACAAAAGCATCATCTGTGTATGGTGTAGTTCTGGATGTTGGATGGGTTTTGCCCACAGCCTTGGGCTGTATCCTCTATTTTTTGCATCAGAAAAACACCTTGGGACCTTCCGTTTCCTGGCAATGTCGTGGCACCAAGGAGCCAACCCACCCCCAAATAGAAATTGAGGTGTGGTGCAAAGGAGAGGGGCTGGAAAACTGGGCAGGACTGGGAAGAGGCAGCAAGGGAGAGGCTGGGGCCACTTGTGCTGCTTTAAATGTGGCATAGCCCCGTGGCAGCCAGCCACCAGCTCTCAGGAAAGCTGCTGCTGGGGACACAGTTGCCTTTGCTAGGGCTCTGGGAACGTGGATGGTCTGAATTAGCTAGAGCTATGAAGTGATAACGATCGCTGTTGGCATTGATTAAATGCTGATGAGTTAGCAAATTGGGATTTAAACCTGGACAAGAAATGCCTGGTTGCTCTGCAGCTGGCCGTGGGTTTCTGGAAGTGATATTATCCAATATATACATATTTGAAAGTGGGGATTACTACTGCATTTCATGCTCCAGCAACTGGAGGCTTTGCTGCCTCTCTGCCTCCCTCCCTGGGGCTGGTGCACGAGCAGGAGGGATGCTGGGACCTGCCCCGGTGATGCCCCAGCTCTGTGTGGGTCCTGCTGCCCATAGTTGCTCTGAAAAGAGCAAATAAATTCCCTGTTTGTATAAAGTTTGGGCAAATGCAAAGTGTTTGGGTTTGCTGGCTGTGCTGCAGCTGCCCAGCCCCAGCGCTGCTTTCCCCAGGAAGCAGAGGGGAGCCAGCAGGTAAGACAAACAAACAGCCCCCAAATCCCCCCAAGCCTCCAACACCAAATTAATCTCTTGCCTTTCCCTCTAGGAATGGCTTTGTAATAAAAGCCAACACGCACAGCTCCTGAATTTTCATTACCCAGCTCATTGACTTGTAGCTGCTGTCTTTTTTTCACCCTTTACCCTTGTATTCTTAAATCTTTTCTTCCTTTTTGCCTTTCCCTCATGGGTCTCCCTGCTCTACCGGGGCCGTTGCAGCAGAGTGTGAGCCAGGGACTCATTTTCACCCCTAATTAAGAAGGAAAGGAAAGGTTTTTAGGGGGCAGGAGCCTGATGATGCCTATATACATGACCCAGGGGCCAAGCCCTACACAGACTCCTGCCCTGGCTCTGCAAAACCAGGCAAAGCTCTGCAGGATATTCAAGGGAGCAGTAAATGCTCTCATTATTTTGGTTGAATGCCCTGGTAAGAAAGGCAGGAGGGGAGGGTACAATGGCAGAGATTCATCGGGAGCCAACAGGGG